AAGCTTCAACAAGTTGAAAATACTTTTATTTTTGTTGTGTGTTGTTCATTTGAGGGCCACAACCAGCTATACTCCTGGCTCTCCACTCAGGAATTAATCCTGGTGGTGCTTGGAGGACCACATGGGATGTCAGGGATCAAACCCTGGTCGACCTTGTGTAAGGCAAGCACCCTACCCACTGTACTATTGCTCTGGGCCCATTTTTCTTATACATGAGATCAGCAAAATGAACATACATATACTTCACAATGTTGAGACCACAGTGCTCACACAACTTTGTACTTTTGGGCCTTGACACTGGCTTCTCCCTCACCTGAACCTCACCTCACCTCCACATCTGCAGGCCTTGTTCCTTCAATCTTTGCCCAATGCTGCTTTCATAATTTAGAATATCCCACTTAAAACTGCAATCTATCACCACCCCTGAATTTATAATGCCACTTGCCCTGTTAATTTTTAGAGGGTTTGTTGTTGATGTTATTGTTATTGTTTTGGATTATGATTTTCAAGCAAACTATCTAATTCATTCTTTATCAAACCTAATATTTAGATCAATTTCCTCACCTCTTCCCCACAGGACTGTAAATTATTCGAAAAATATAAATTCTATGATAGTGCCTGACATGTACTAGATACTTATAGATACTTATAGATACTTATAGGTACTTTAAACAATTGGTGCTAATTTTCCTTCTTAAAGTTTTAACTCTGTACTGTGGATGCTGAGAAAATTCTCCACCTCAATCACAGATCTCCACATGGAATGAAAACAGAGAAGATATTCAAAAGCCCCATGGGCAGAAACATAGACTATCTCAACTGCATCATTGGGTGCAACTGAGAAGCAATGCTCATCTGTTTTTAAACAATTACAAACCAATGTTATTCTCAGGAAACTAAATATTAGTGATAACTTAGTAGTATGAAAAATTTTATCACAGATGTAATGTTTATATGATGTGATATATACATACATATATATATATATATACATGTATATATCACTTGATCACTTGACATCTTGTTACTCATGGATTTGCTCGAGCCGGCACCAGTAATGTCTCCATTCGTCCCTGTCGCGTGCTAGTGTAGCCCAATGGTGTCTGCTTGTTCGAGGAACACAAACAGCCTCAAACCGATCATTCAGGGTCTTGATGAAGAAGTCTGACCATCTCGTACGTGGGCGGCCACGCGATCTTTTGGATCCCATGAAATACAGTCAATAATGACTCTAGTCCAGTGTCCAGCCCATCTGATTTTAGACGCCTTGGCAAACAAGACAGTGTCCCTGATTCTTGACTGTCGACGGAGGTTGGAACTCCGGATTCTTTCTCTCATTTGAGTGAAATGTGATACTCCCAAGCATAGCACTTTTGATTCCTCTTTGAAAGACCCGAATAGTGTTCTCAGCGTATGCCAATACAGAAAGAAAGGTGGAATCAAAAAGATGTGCTGGAAGCTGGAAATTCTTCATGCTTTTAGCTATTTCTTCAAAACTCTTGAAGGCGTTCCAAACCACTCTCTTCCTCCTGTGCAACTCGGGTGCCAGATCATTTGTCATGTTGACTTCTCGACCTAGGTACACATAACTGTTGTATTCAGAGATGTTCGTTCTGTTGAGAGTGAATGGAACATTAGGAACGAGACTGTTTCTCATAAACATTGTCCTTGTGAGATTCAGCTGTAGTCCAACATTTCCACATCATGGTTGAAGTCGGCCAGCATTTGTGCTGCTTGGCTAATGTTTGGTGTTATTAGAATGATGTCATCAGCAAAGTGGAGGTGGTGTAGTTGCCGACCATCTATCTTCACTCCCATTCCTTCCCATTCCAGTCGTCTCGTGACGTTCTCGATGGTGGCACTGAAGAGTTTCGGTGAAATGGTATCACCCTGCCAAACCCCTCTCTTGACATGGATGATCACTTCCTTGTAGAATGGTGAGATCCTGGTAGTGAATCCCTAATACAGCTCAGGGAGGATCCTGATGTACTGAGTTTGAACACACTGTTTGGCTAGGGCTTCGATGACTCCTTCTGTCTCAACAGAATCAAAGGCCTTCTTTAAATCAATGAATGTTAGGTGGAGCGGCATCTTGAACTCCTGAGAAACCTCAATGAGCTTGGGTATTGTGTGGATATGGTTGACGGTGCTGAATCCTTTTCAGAACCCGGCTTGCTCACATGGTTGTCCTTCATCTAGTGTTCTGCCAATCCTATTTAGGATGACTCAAGTGAACAGCTTGTAGACGACAGACAACAAGTAGATTGGGCGATAGTTGCCAATGTCGTGAATGTCTCTCTTCTTGTACAGTAGTACAGTCCTGCTAGTTTTCCACTGGGACAGAACCTTGCATTCAGACTGGTAGCGTGTGAAGAGCCAAGCCAGTGTATTGATGAATACTGACGGTAGGTTCTTCAGGTGTTCAGGTCTGACCTTGTCTGGGCCAGGTGTTCTTTGTTTCTTTACCGACGAAATGGTATGTCGGATTTTGGAAGGGAGAACTCTGGGAATGACATATCCATCCTGCGGAATTTGGTATGTGGGCAGATGGATGTGGCTATCGAGAGATCCTAGTAGAAGTCATAGATAATCTTCTCCATTGCCCTTCTGGCAGATGTGATAGATTCATCAGGATCTTGGATGGCAGTCATCTTGGTCTTCTAGTTGGTGAAGGACAGGAGGACATTGTGAATGCTTTTCCCGGCTTCTGCCGCATCTGCCAGGACTTCTGCTCTTCTCTCTTTGAGGTCTTCCTTATTCGCTTGTCTGCACTGTTTTGTGAGCTCGGACGTTCCCTTGCCGTTGCCTGAGGCTTGCACCAAGCCATGTTGGCGAATAGCTCAAGAGTTTTCAAAGACAGGCATTTTTTTTTGTCACTATCTCTCTTTTGGTGTTCCTCACACAATCATGGAGGTGCTGAACCAGTTGATCATATTCCTCGTCAATGTTGTCAACGACGGCATCTTCTCACGTTGCTACAATAGTGCAATTTGGCATTATTGCAGCAACATATATATACACACATACACACACACACACACACACATATATATATATATATATATATATATATATATATGGGTCACCATATATATGTGTCACACAAGGCAGTGCCCTTTTTGAGGTCACAACATGTTGCTGGGAAATGAACTAAGGACTTCAAATATGCAAGGCATATGCTCTGCCACTTGATTTATCTCACTGTTTTAACTCAGATATGCTTTTGTATCAAGTTAGGTTCTCCCTAAATACCACAGCACTGAAACAACGAGAAATATTTTAAGGCCTGGCCTAACTTCATACTGAACACAGTTCTTCTGCCCTCTACTACTTGCAGCTCCCCACCCCTGAATTGAAATCCAGTCCAGGGACAATGATACCAGTCTAGCTAATTCTAACCCTTGGCACCTGTCACTGGCCTGGATTAGGTTTGTGGTGTGATATCTTCCTTCTTTAGTGAGTTCAAATTTGAAATCAGGAAATAGATTTCTGTAACCTTAGTCACAAAACTTACACCTCTCAATTTGTGAGACAAGTTGTGGGAAAATATGTGAGGTTCAAATTGGCAGGGGAGTAATCAGCTTCTGCCTTTCTTCCATAACTAAATACTGAAACATATTTATAATCATGTTTTTTATAAACTTCTTCTCTACAGAGGAGAAAAAGATCGACCCTTTAGTGCTGCCTGTGACACTGTATAAATGTTATTTTGATCCTAGAATCTTATGAGAGAAATGCTATTATTATCTTCATCTTATAGTTATAGGTGTTTAGGACTAACGAGATTAGTTATTCTCCAAGGTCACAGTGCCAATAACATCAAGGCAAAGATCCGAACACAGCTTCAATATCTATGGGTTTTTCCTTGTTGCACTACTCTACTGAACTTGAGGTTTCGTACATCCAAGAGCAGAATTCTGCATGAAGAGTTAGTAACGCATAACTGAGGTAAAGCTGGGCCAAGAGGAGTGGTTTTCTTCTTTTTTTTTATGCCTTGCTTCCTCTTGCTCCGTGAATAACTAGTACTATTATGTGTTGCTTAATGACTGGGATATGTTCTGAGAAGCAAGTGGTTAGACCATTTCATCAGTGTGTGCCCATCAGACATTGTGATTACACTGACCCAGTCAGTACAGTCTTCTCAAAACGTATGCAGCACAGCACAGCCTGCTGGAAACGCCACCCAGTGCATGGTCCATTGTTGCTATCACTGACTACTGACACCGAGCTACAGTTGAGAAACTGCTGAGGTACTAGTTGATGATCCCAACATATCTGTAGTGTTCTATCTTGTGTGTAGTGCTACCCCACTCCCCTACACACTCACAAACATGATAATCAATACTCAAAGAATCATCTTGAATAAAGCACTTGGCATCCTGGTGTCATGTTATGTTTGCCTGCATATAACACCAGGATGGGTACAGGTTTGGGCACTGACTCTTTTCTTCAGGTATGCCCTTAGCACGGGAGAGAGTCGAAGAGATAGAGGTAAGAGTTAGTGAGATCCACGGGAGGGAAAGGGCCACTCCTGAGGAAGGGGATGTTTCCTCTGCTGTGTTGTCCAGATAAGCTTCTCCCTGGCCTGTCTCTACTGGTTTTCTACTGTAATCACAAACTTGGTCATAATAGATGTTCAAGTACTAAAAGGTTTACCAGCTAGCTGAAAGAAACCTCTACTCAAGAAGCTGACCCTGGAGGTTTTGGCCACACCCAAGGCTCACAAGTGGCTCTGTGGCAGGCCTCTGTCAGGAACCCCATCCATTCTCAACACTGAAAGCCATGCTCTAGGTCATGCTGAGTCTCGGAAACCCACACCCTGCATTCTGGCCTCTCCAGTCAGCTTAGAGGCCTGGTGTGAGTAGGAGTTGAGAGAAAATCCCCGCTGATGCCAAAAGCAGCCACCACCAAGTGCTCCTGACTATATAGGAAGATAGATACTCAGGTTTTCTATAAGCAGATTAAAAAAGAAAAAGACAGAACAAAGTAATACAGAAAACCTGTCAGGCCACATCTTCGTGCAGGTGTAGCTCCCAGGTCACGTTCAAGTGCACTGAAGTCTCTCCTTGTGAACCAGCCCAGTTGCTTTCTTCTCTGGACCAGGCTGCGCTTCGCTGGCAGGTCAGCCTCACCAAAGAGAAATACGCTGCATCCAGGGACGTGCAGGATTAGACTCTCTGCCAGGTCTATGGGCAGTGGGAAATGGTAATGAAATAAATGAATATCAGACCCAGTGACACAATCCTCTATTGTGGCAACATATATTTCCCCCAGATTCCAAAAGATTTACTATTTTATTTATTTGCTTGTTTGTTTTCTGGTCACTCCTGGCAGTGCTCAAGGTTATTTCTGGCTCTGTGCTCATGGATCACTCCTGGATAACTTATATCCACATCATTGGGTAGCAATCACCAAGGCCCATTATTTGCATAAATTTTTTAAATCAAAGTTTGAACATAACACATTTTATCTTAAAATTAAATCATGTATGGGGTACCAGGATCAAACCTAGGTTGGCTGAATGCAAGGGAAGTGCCCTACTTGATGTATAACCTCCTCAGCCCCAAGGAAAATATTATTTTAAAAGTAGGGTTCATGAATGCAGCTTTAAAAATCCAAATAATATATGCAGAAAAAATTCTATAATTAGAAATCACTTTTTTTTAGCACAGAAGTAAGTCACTGAGGAAAATATCGTCAATGAATGAAATCCTCATGAAAAGCAATTTATCTTTGCATCACTAATAGTGTGATAACCAGGCAATGGCCTACTTATATAACAGAGTATTCAACTCATTGCCCAGCTCTAAAGACTATTTGTCCCATGAAATTCTCCAATAATAACTTCAAAATAGTTTTCTAGAAAGAATTTCAAGTTTGTAGAAAATGTGAAGGTTAAAAATACAAATTATTGCAGTACTGTTTACAATAGCCAGAATCTGGAAAAAAACCGAGTGCCCAAAAACAGATGACTCGTTAAAGAAACTTTGGTACATCTACACAATGGAGTACTATGTAGCTGTTAGAAAAGATGAAGTCATGAAATTTACATACAAGTGGTACTACATGGAAAGTATAATGCTAAGTGAAATGAGTCAGAAAGAGAGGGACAGACATAGAAAGATTGCATTCATCTGGGGAATATAAAGTAACAAAACAGGGGACTAACACCCAAGAATAGCCGACATAAGTACCAGGAGGTTCACTTTATGGCTTGGAGGCCGCCGCACATGCTAGGGGAAAAGGCAGCTCAGATAGAGAAGGGAGCACCAAATAAAGGTGTTGGGAGGATCCTCCCAGGATGGGAGATGCATGCTGAAAGCTGACTATAGACCAAACATGATTGCCACTCAATGCAAATCACAACACCCAAAAGGAGAGAGAGACAAAGGGAAATGCCCTCCCACAAAGGCAGGGTGGAATGGGGGGGGAGGGCAGGGTGGAATGGGGGTGGGGGATCCCCTGTGGTGGGATCAGTGGTGGTGGAAAATGGGCACTGGTGGAGGGATGGGTGTTCGATCAATGTATATTAGAAACCCAAGCACAAAAATTTGTAAGTCTACAATTGTACCTCATGGTTTTTCACTAATAAAAATTTTTAAAAAAATACAAACTATGTGGGACCATGGAAAACAAATAGATGTAAAATGTAGGAATTCTATGTAACAAATACTGTAACCAATGAATAACAGGAGGAAAGGGGATGTGGGGAGGGGGGCAGCTTAGATCAAAGAGAGAACAGTTTAGGTCAAAAGAGACAGGTGTCTGGGGGCCTGAGAGGTAGTAGAGCAGGTAAGGCACTGACCAGGTTCAATCCCCCGCATCCCATAAGGTCCCCTTAGTACTTCCAGGAGTGAGTCCTGATTGCAAAGCCAGGAGTAACCTCTGAGCATCACCAGGTATAGTCCAAATACCAAAGAGAGACAGAGACAGAGAGACAGAGACAGAGAGGCAGAGAAAGAGAGATAGGAGGGGGGAGAGAGAGAGGTATAATAGTCAATGTAATATATCAACCACATAAAGATCCAGATTCAAATAAATCGCTCATGAAAATTTGCTCAGATTATAACTCTGTGTATCGGACACGGCACCAAAGAGGTATTACAATTAGTTTGATAATGGTACTGCAGTAACAAAAGAAAATGTTAACACTATTTAAAAATACATGGAGAAATAATAAATTTTTGGAATTTACATAGCACAGTGGGTACGGCATTTGCCTTGCATGCAGCTGACCCAGGTTCGATTTTTCCATCCCTCTCAGAGAGCTTGGCAAGCTACTGCGAGTATCTCGCCCACATGACAAAGCCTGGCAAGCTACCCATGATGTATTTGATATGCCAATAACAGTAACAACAAGTCTCACAATGGAGACGTTACTGGTGCCCACTCAAGCAAATCGATGAACAACAGGAGGACAGTTCTACAGTGCTACAGTGCTAAATTAAAATAATTTAGAAAAACCACAGAGGAAAAGAGCAGTCTGCAGAATCCTCAGGATGTAACTCAGTGTTAGGGCAACTGCTCGCAATCTTTAGGCTGCAAATTTGATCCCCAACAGGCTGAATGTGATTTTAGCTGCACTCTCTTTGTGATCCTCGTGGCCACAACCAAGTGCTCAATCTCTGCTGCATAACAACACAGTGATGACCCTCATCATCCCGACAACCACATGAGAAGGAAAGAGAATGGGGGTGGAGGGAGAGGGAGATAAAGGAAGAAGAAAGAAAGGCAAGCAAAGGAAGTAAGGGAGAGGGGACTACCCCATAGGTTATATGAAGAGATTAAGATTAGAACAACTAAGAAAAGCATCTTAACATGCCTACTGCACTGTAAACCAAGCTTTCCTTCCCCTTTGCAAGTCTCTCCCACTGCTCTGAATTCTAAAGGCTGGGCCATGCCTGCCTGGAGAAGTATGTCCCTAGTTACTAGAAGTTTCTGTGTTTCTTCACAGTATTTAACAGCTCCTCTTCCATGAGCTCTTCTACACAAATCCATGGTAGAATTAATCCAATTTACTTTGTGTTCCCAAATAAAGCAAGACAATTAAAGCATGTCCTTATTTTCAAAGCCAAAGGGTACCTAGTAACAAAGTGCAGACTACATTCTTCATTGTCAGGGTAAAGGTAAAGGTAAAGGCCCTCCCGTTGATCGTCGATTTGCTCAAGCGGGCCCAGTAACGTCTCCATTGGAGACTTTGTTGTTACTGTGTCTGGCATATCGAATACTCTCGGTAGCTTCCCGGGCTCTCCGAGAGGGGCGGAGGAATCGAACTCGGGTCGGCCATGTTGGCTGCGTGTAAGGCGAACGCCCTACCCGCTGTGCTATCGCTCAGGGTAATAACATTGATATTTCTAGCGATTTGTAACCCAAGGGCCCATGGCAGATCAGGTGGGCATTTGGAATTTTGCTGAAAAGTAAATTTAGATTGCCTGTATTTGAAAGACTTCTCTCAAATGAAGTCAGAAGAAGACTAGTTTTCAATTGAATCATTTCTTTCATCAATCTATCTAACTACCACCCCAAATAATTTCAAACACTAACATAATTGGAGAAAAAGAAAGATAAAAATTCTAAAAACTTTAAATCCAAGCCTGGGGAAGACTAAGTCTCAAGAGCATTATTATTATTAGGTAAAGCAAGAGTTCCATGTGCCTTTCCTGCAAAGCCAGACCCTCCAGAGACATTCCCAGGGCAAGGACATTTGTGACTTGCACCGGGATCCAAGGAACCAGAGAAGTGAAAGAATCCCTGCCGGGGCTGGAGAGATAGCACAGCGGGTAGGGTGTTTGCCTTACATGTGGCTGACCTGGGTTCGATTCCCAGCATCCCATATGGTCCCCTGAGCACCACCAGGAGTAACTCCTGAGTGCAGAGCCAGGAGTAACCCCAAAAAGCAAAAAAAAAAAAAAAAGGAAAGAAAGAATCCCTGCCCAAGAACTGCGCTCTCCTACTGAAACCTATTTCTCCCTCCCTTGTTGTCACTTAGTCTTTTTCAGCTTGCATTCAACACAAAGTCACATCTGACCCACTTGCATTATTATAGTTCATTGTGAACTTTACTTCTCCCTCTAGCTTTCAAACTCCTTGAACAATCCATGTTTGTTCATCTGAATAAGCTGAGTTTGGTTCTTAAAACCCTTGCAAATATTGCACTTTACCCATCAGGAATGCTGTCCACTCGAAATCAACAAAAAAAAAATTGGGTTTAATATCAGCTAAGTGACAATGCAATCCCAGCAAGAAAGCATAGAACAGTTTCCACCACTATCCCACATTAACCAACTGTCCCCAGAACAACTGGTGCTGTTGAACAAGGGCACCGTGGAAATCACCTGTGTCCGAATAATACAATGCCCACAGGTTGTCTTGAATTTGGCAAAACAAAAGTCTGCAACTTCCTAAAATTTTTTTTATTAAACGACCAGACATTTTTCATTTTTCTTCTATTTTTTAGTTTTCTCCATCATTATTAGTAGCAACTCTTATTTTTCCATTTTCACTTGTCATATTCTAAAAAAAAATTGGCAATATTTTTGTTTGGTTGGGTTTTGTTTTGGCCCACTGCTGGTAGAGTTGTGAGCTACTTCTGGCTTGGAGTTTGAGGATGATGAGCCAGCAGTGCCGGAGAAGGGAAAACATGCAGTGCTGGGTATCAAACCTGGAACTCCTACATGTGAAGCATTTGCTCTAGCCCTGCTCCCTAGCACTTTCAATATTTTAAAATACGTAATTAATTTTCATGACTGGATAATGTTTCTTTTCTTTAGGGAGGGCCACACACAGTGGTGCTCAGGGATTACTTACTCTTGGTTGTGCACTCAGAGACCACTCCTGGTAGACTTGGGGGACTATATGGGATGCTGAGGATCAAACAGAGGTTGGGTCTGTGCACAGCAGGATCCCTACCCACTGCACCATCTCTTGGGCTGGCTGACCTTTTCACGCAAAACTGCTGTCAGTCATTTTACACAGGCATATTTTCTCATTGTCAATTTTAACTTTAGAGACATCTGTGAATTTGGTTGTTACTTTTTGTAAAAGGAAAGCCAAAGAAATGCAATGCTTCTTGGTACAAAGAAAAGTTTAAGATTCACTTGTTGTTGTTGTTGTTCTGTTTTGGTTTGGGGCCACAGGTAGCAGAGCTCAGAGGTTACTCCTGGCTTTGCACTCAGGGATCACTCAT